TTTGAAGCGAATTTGAAGGAGGTCTGTAACATTGTTGAGCAGAAGAGTGGGGTCCAGGGGAGAGGTGAAGTGCAAACACGAAACAAGGGGATAAACACTGTTTTTGCTGGTTTGGTGAGTACTTGCTCTTAGTTACAGGATTGCAAAGATCATTTTTGGTATGATTTATTAATATAAAGCTAGTAGTACCTTTCCTTTTATCTATTACATGAGCCAGGACAAATTGTGCCCATTTCATGTTCCCATAAGAAAGGCTATATAGCAAGATTTTGATATTTTGATACGCTTATAAAAGTTGGCAAGAGCCAGAGGTTTCTAGATTGAAGAAAAATAGAGTTTACACCACCCCCACCCCCGTCCTCTGTAGGACCAATGGTGTAAAATGCGTGCCTAGTTTTTCATGAACAGCCCTTTTTCCTAATTCCCCTGATTGCACTCACATTACCAAGGTCAGCAATGTGTCATTCGTGTGAAATCACCGAGGCTTCTCTGAAAAAGGGAGCTGTCATGGACCCATTAGTCCGCTCCTATTAAAATGAAGGCTGAAGTCTTTAAAGATACACACCCAGGTATCTTGTGTGATCTTCTATCAGGATTGTATCTCCATTTCAGTTTGTATGACACTACCTGTTTTGAATAGCATAAAGACTCATTGTTACTGTCAGGCCTGTTTTCAAACAAAATATTCATCTAGTCCTTTGTGGCTGCCATTTTTATCAGACATTCAGAACAGCTTCCCTTTGCTGACCTGCCATTTTCCTGCAAATCACTGTTGCACTTGTATGATTTCTAGTGAGACAAGCTTAGACCTGGCTGCCTTTCTCTCAGTAACAGAGCAAACGACTGGCTCTGGTGCCTGTGCTGCAGAGAAAGTTGATTCATGTGTAAATTATCGCTTGGCCTTTATTTGCTTGGCCTGTGGAGAGTCCACATGCAGATAACAGGCACCGTGGGTCAAGGCTCACTGTGCACAGGTTTCTCCGGTGGCCACAATGATGGCGTTAGAACTGTTGTCACAGATTATCAGACACACTATGATGTCTTATCATTATTTATTTGCAGCTTTCTGTATAAAATAAACTCCTCACTCGAAGACTCTCTAGCAATACAGCCCTTTGTGTGCCTGGCCCTTGTTAATGTTTTATCTGCACACATTCTAAATAATAAAAATCAGTTTGGAGAGGTTTGACCTAAGACCTGGTGTCTTTATGTCTCTGCATCAGTGTTTCTGTCTGCCTGTGCTCAGCTCCTCCTTCTTCTGCATGTCGTTGCGGTGTTTTCGAGCATGTTGAACCATGGATAGCACCTCACGGATACATCTTATTAATCAAGATAGATGTAAAATGTGGTTTGGAGTATGTCTGGCAACTTCTAGACACTATGCAGAAATAAGATATTTTTACAAGCTGTAAACTTTGCTATCTATGACTCAATTGATTTTCATTACCATAAAATTACTTAACATTGTGACTCAATAACTTCACTATGAAAATAGAGAAAATAGAGGCTTAAATTTTTGGTACATGATCTCCACTCTCTAGGTAGAATAGCTAAGTCTGAATTTTCAAGGTAAATTATTATTTATATACATGACACTAAGCAATACATTTTAAATCTCAAGATGATAGGAAGCTTTCAGTCTGCTTTTATTGTTAAGGTCTTAAAATCTGTCATAAAGGTAGAACTGACATATATATATTTCTTCAGCTTGTATTTATTTGCTCATTCATTTGTAAATTCACATTATTTCTACATCTTTTCTATAAGCACTCAGCTGAAACCAAAAGGTCAGCGGTTCTAACATACCACCATTATAAACAATGTTGTGTTTATGATTTTTAATCATCTTACTGGGGGCTCTTACAGCTCTTATCACAATACATACATGCATCCATTGTGTCAAGAACATTTG